AAAGGAAACATAGGTGTATAAATAAAAATGAAATGATTTGACAAAAAAAAGTCATAGATGATGGTTGACTCATTTGAAGATGTTGAATACAGAGTGAGATAAATATTGATATATATAAAAATACTGATATATGGAAAATGTTTGTGGATTATATATAAAACATGAATCATTCAAGGAGGACGAGTTGATTTATTATCTCTTTGTTTCTTTAGAAGGAATGTATAAATGGTACTAAGATCGTTGATGTCTGTTCTTTTGTTCATCGTTTTATCATTTTCATTAATATGTACCATTTCAAGAAAGAGGCGTTTGTTGAGATGTTTTTCATAATCCAGAATTTTGGCATTATCATAATTCATTATATGATCTTCATCTATAACATGTTCAGCAAGGCTACATGATTTTAAATTTCTTCTACAATCACTTTTATGTGAAGTGATTCTGTCTTTTAACATTCTACAAGTTTGACCAATATAAACTAGATTACAATCATTGCAGGGTATTTCATAAATAATATTCGATCTATTTTTGACTGGTACAGGAGTTTTCAATTTGGTATGAAGATGAAATATTGTTTTCAAATTTGTTTTAGCGAATTTAATATTTGTTTCATTTTTAAAGAGACTGATTAATTTGGGAGTTAGATCAATTATGTGTGGTAAAGATTTGAATATTGAAATTTGATTATTTCTTGGTAGGGGAACGTCAACATTAAATGAACTGAAAATAATTTTATTGACTAATGATTTTGGATACGAATTTTCGATAAAGATGTTTCTTAATTCTACTAAACAATCATTTCTCAAAGTTACATGAGTGACTTTTTCTACTCTATTTTTGATGTTACGTATCAAGTTAATTTTCATTTTCATTGGATGATGTGAATGGTAATCAATAAAACGATTACTATTGATTGGTTTCCTGTACCATCTAGTTATAATTATATTATTGTTCGTTCTAATCAATTTCATATCCAGAAAAGGAACTGATTGATCAATTTCTTTTTCAACAGTGAATTGAATATTAGTGTTGAAGCTGTTGAAAATATTGAGAATCTCATCAATGCAATTTTCTGGTACAGAAAGAATTAGATCGTCTACATATCTTTTTAAAAATGGAATATCGAAGGTAATTTTATCTATGCAATAATCAAGGAGTTCATCTAAAACATAGCTAGATATTATTGGAGAAATGCTCGATCCCATAGGAGTACCAAATATTTGTTTATAAAATTTATCATTGAAAACTAGACATGTAGAGTCGAAAATAAAATCGATTATTTTCATAAACATACCTTTTTCAATATTACAAAAATTGTTAATTGAATCCCATTTCTTTTCAATACAAAGCTTAACTAGTTCTAGTGGTGAGTTTGTAAATAAAGATACAACGTCTAGGCTTATTAGAACGTAATTAGTTTTCAATGATAAATTTTATAAACAAATATTTGGTACTCCTATGGGATCGAGCATTTCTCCATAATATCTAGCTATGTTTTAGATGAACTCCTTGATTATTGCATAGATAAAATTACCTTCGATATTCCATTTTTGAAAAGATATCTAGACGATCTAATTCTTTCTGTACCAGAAAATTGCATTGATGAGATTCTCAATATTTTCAACAGCTTCAACACTAATATTCAATTCACTGTTGAAAAAGAAATTGATCAATCAGTTCCTTTTCTGGATATGAAATTGATTAGAACGAACAATAATATAATTATAACTAGATGGTACCGGAAACCAATCAATAGTAATCGTTTTATTAATTACCATTCACATCATCCAATGAAAATGAAAATTAACTTGATACGTAACCTCAAAAATAGAGTAGAAAAAGTCACTCATGTAACTTTGAGAAATGATTGTTTAGTAGAATTAAGAAACATCTTTATCGAAAATTCGTATCCAAAATCATTAGTCAATAAAATTATTTTCAGTTCATTTAATGTTGACGTTCCCCTACCAAGAAATAATCGAATTTCAATATTCAAATCTTTACCACACATAATTAATCTAACTCCCAAATTAATCAGTCTCTTTAAAAATGAAACAAATATTAAATTCGCTAAAACAAATTTGAAAACAATATTTCATCTTCATACCAAATTGAAAACTCCTGTACCAGTCAAAAATAGATCGGATATTATTTATGAAATTCCCTGCAATAATTGTAATCTAGTTTATATTGGTCAAACTTGTAGAATGTTCAGAGACAGAATCGCTTCACATAAAAGTGATTGTAGAAGAAATTTAAAATCATGTAGCCTTGCTGAACATGTTATAGATGAAGATCATTTAATGAATTATGATAATGCCAAAATTCTGGATTATGAAAAACATCTCAACAAACGCCTCTTTCTTGAAATGGTACATATTAATGAAAATGATAAAACGATGAACAAAAGAACAGACATCAACGATCTTAGTACCATTTATACATTCCTTCTAAAGAAACAAAAAGATAATAAATCAACTCGTCCTCCTTGAATGATTCATGTTTTATATATAATCCACAAACATTTTTTATATATCAGTATTTTTATATATATCAGTATTCATCTCACTCTGTATTCAACATCTTCAAATGAGTCAACCATCATCTATGACATTTTTTTTGTCAAATCATTTCATTTTTATTTATACACCTATGTTTCCTTTTTGTGCTAATTTTATATAGAATTTCATGTTTGTAAGTATACCAATTTCATTTGATGTACATTTATATTCTAATATTATTGTTCCATTCGATGTTTTCAGTTAGTCTTGATAAAGAAAATAAAAATTTTCGAAAGCTCGACAAATAACGAAGAAATCTAATTAATTCATTGGTCCAGACTGCATTCCACTAATATTTCCAATAATATCATTATAGAACAGTCACGAAAGCTTCCCCTTGTTATATTTATATACATATTTATGTGGCTCAATAACAATTTGTTAGGTCTCAATGTGAAAGAAACAAAACTCATGACTTTCTCTTTAACTTCTACTGACCAACCTGATACATCAAAGAGAAGTATCCACAAACCTAGTTGTGAAAAAGAAAAAAACTGTAACTGCTCTAGAATCGAGAAAACTGAATCTATCAAATATCTAGGACTCAATCTGGATCAGTATATGAGGTGTAATGAACATATTTCATATATATTAACAAAAATTAGGCTACTCATGCATGAGTTCTATGTTCTCAGAGATATTCTTTCTCGAAAAAATCTAACGATTTCATACAGTTCATTATAAGAGTCAATAATAAATTATTGCATAACAGCATGGGGCGGTACTTATAATAATACGATAAGGAGCCTACAATCAGCACAAAACATGATACTAAGAATAATAACGAGGAAACGTAAACTATTTTCAGATATATATACAGAGGTACTGTATAAGGAAACAAATGTGTTTGACATAAGATTCTCATACACTTATTGGTCTCTAATCTGGATGTACATAAATATTCATTATTTCAGAATGCAAAGTTCTAGGATAACCCGATCCAGTGAAAATGAAATTATTCAGATTCCTCTATAAAAAAAGAGCCATACATAACGTTTTGTTTTTTACTCAGGACCAGAACTGTATAACCTTCTGCCTGAATGTTTAAAAAACACGAATGAAATGAAACATTTCAAAACTGCTCTCAAACAATTTATGCTTCATAATGCATCTTTATTCAAAATTTTCTAAGAAAAAAATGTTATCTCTATCTTTCACTCGTCTTCTCCTCTTCTTCTTTCCAATAATCATAAGTATGTTGTTCTGGTTTATAGACTAAAACATTTGTTATGTATTTCAACATGATAACCCTCCCATGCTTCATGAGGGAGAAATTCAAAACAGACAGCCTGTTGCCTAGGCGTTTTCCGCTTATGTTCACAGGAGAGAAAAAATATCTACGAGAAAAAAAAAATTGTTATACTGTATGAGTCTTTGAAGGAATCTTGAATCTGTAGAGACAAAAAATCTATCAACGTTGATGATGATACGGAGTACTATGTTCTTTAGCACATGTTACCTGCTCAATTGGAAGGCGTAGGCTACAGTACACGGGACAATCGTATCTGATTGTCATCCATTGATAGCATTGAATTCAGAATCAACAATCGATGCAGCTGCTTATTTCCTACTGTCCTCCGGAGATTAAGTTCATTATATTGTCTCTGAAACGCATTCGCTCGTCCAACAGTACTTCCAGGTATTTCACTGGAAATGAATAGGATCATATATTAATTATATATTTCAGTAAACTCATGATATTCCTTTCCTCGGTTTCAAAAGTTTCATAATATTCAGTATTTTGGAATATTGTGACATGCTGTTATATTTTATGAAGTTGTCAGAATTCAATTTTACGAACCAGTTTTGTTAATTTCATACATTACCGAAGTACCTACGCAACTTTAGATATCTACTCAACCTGCGGTTGGGGCAATAAAACATTCGGAGGCCCCGACGAAATGGCAGCTGACTGAAACTCAAGATGGCTAACGACGACTACACTATGGCTATGGAGTGGAGACCTCATTCGATATGTACTGTACTGATTTGGAGCAAGCTTCAGAGTAATCGAACACAGATTTAGCTCAAACCCAATGTATATCAAAATTATTAGCCAGATAGAACGAAGAAGTGGAAGAAGAGTGCAGCAAACTGATTCATTCGATGCTTAGCCCAAAAAAATCTGAAGACGCCATAGCAGAAGTTATGACAGACTCTCACAAAACCATGATAAGATTTAGTTCTCTCGCTTTCGAAGTTGAACAGTTTATGGTGACTTGTCTCAAAAAACCCAGCTCTGTTCCATCAGGTAGAACCAAACTCAATCTACCTGAACTAAAAGAATGGTTACAGTTCTGGAGTTTATTCAAGCGGATTCACGATGATGAAAAGATGGAAAACGATGATGAATTTAAATATTCACTATCATCTACCATCCCAAATTCGAAGGCACAATAGACAATTGAGAGTTATCCTCCAACAGGTGATAAATATATCATGGCGATAGATAGTTCGGAGTTCAGATTTGGGAGAGATGACTTACTTATAGAGTATAACGTTAGGGATTTTTTGAAGTTGGTACTGAATAATCTCACTTACGAAACTAACAATTTGATATCACTGTACGATGGAATGGGGTCGCAACTAAGAGCACTAGAAACACTAGGAGTCGCTACTGACAACTGTGCAGCAATGTTGTACCCATTACTAGAATCGTGCTTACCCGAAGAAATATTGAGAACGTGGAAAAGGAACTCCAAGATCTTCATAATTGATTCCGTGAAAACTCGTTTGGATGAACTCATGGAATTTCTGGAACGTGCAGTGGAAAACGGAGAGAAGATATCATTGGCTACCAATATTGAGATGAGAAACCGAAAGAAAGAATTTTAATCGAAACCTAGCGTTCCCTCTGCGACTGCCTTTCTTAATCAAAATCCCAGAAGAGGTTTCTGCCAGGAACAGCACCCAAGCAATGCTTTTCAAAAAACACTTGGGTTGTCAATTGAACAAAGAAAACAGAAACTTCTTCAAAATGGATCATGTTACAGGTGTTTACGTCAAGGATATTTTGCTCAAAGATGCATGATCTTTTCTGAACTCAAATGCTCCAAATGCATTGGTGGGCATTTTTCATTGAGGAGTCCCACCGAAGATACTGAAAAATCAACTCCAATTGTTCACCTCGGAAGTCATCTTCAGTATCAGAATCTTTGGTGAATACTCAAGTAACTACAGGAATGTCGAATCAGACGAACAACCATGTATTTTCACAAAGGTTAGCAGTTAACTTCGTTTGCAACGATAAGGTAAGAAGATGAAGAACCCTACTCGACACAGGTTCTCAGAAATCTCACATTTCAAGGAAATCAGCAGATAACATGCAGATGCGAGTTGTTGAAATTGAAGACATGGTGCATGCCCTTTTTGAAAATTACAATACAGAGATGCCATGATCGTTACGAAACTCAGTTGCATAGTTTAGATTTGCTATACTCTTGGTTGCAAGAGCCGCACGAGCCCTTGAGGGTAGCCTTTGAATGAACATAGTTCGGAGAATATCATCAATAATTTTATCTCCTGCAAGAGCTTGTATCTTCCTAAGCAATGTTCATGGTTTTTGAACGTTTAACCCATCTTCGATCAATAACTTTTTTGCTTCACGTTCCTCAGACTCTTCAAATTGCAATATTCAACGTTCCTTTAGATCGGTGTAGGGTTTTTCAGGAAGTAGTCCCGAAATCAAATTTGATATCATTTCTGCAACCCCACAATCTGATGAACCAAGAATATGATGGTACCTGGTTGTCCAATTTGATATATTAGCTGTAAAGACCTGCATTTTCACCTAGAGATACCATATTCTGAGATTTCTTCGCCAGAATACTGAAATCTTGATCAAAACTTGTGCGATCTCATTAGGAATCTTAGGTTCTGGAGGATCTGGCATACTGAATGAGTATTCACATGAATGAAATCCAAGAACGTACCTCCGCTTCTCGATGTATCACTTGGTAACTTGGTGTACAAGATTTCGAAGCTGTATCTCCTGTGAATGTCGGGAACAAGCGTTCGGGGTCACCAATGTAGCAGTTATAAGCGTGTTCTCGTATCAATATTAATTTATTTCAACTGATGATATCTGCAACTTTGACAATATGAAAATCAATTGACATAATTCTAATAATTTCATCTGACATCCAACTTGCACATACTGGGAGTCAATTTCCGCCACATCTGTCTCGCTGTCCAAACGTTCCTGAATGCATTGCAGGATATATAAATACAGAGATCGGTTCTGTTGACTCGACCTGAAGACTTCCCAGTGATCTGGCAGCTGAACTAGATATTGGGGCCGCGACAACAGCAACACGAGAAGCAACAAAATTCCGAGTCATCAATGACAGCAGGAACATTGCAGACAATCCCAGGCAAGATCCAACAGGCGACCTTATGAACGCCATCAAGGGCCTCTTGAATGGAGAGAAGAAACCAGTTCGAACAGCTGCAAGAAAATTAAATTTCGCTGATCTGGAGAGACCAGTTCCAACCCATCATTCTCAAGGCTCCCTAATCTTCGTGACATCCCTACGGTGTGATTACAGCAGCGTCTATGTAGATGGACAAATCGATGAAAAACAAATGTGCATTGTTGGTGAATCTTAGTGCACCGAAAAAATGACAGATATTGGAGAAGATGTTATTCTGTGGATAAACATCATGGGTGTGCGAGGTATTCTACTGGACTTCGGAAGCCGAACACTCAAGGTTGGTGCCGAAGAGATCTTCTTACATCCACGAGTTGGGGTGGCGGCAGGGGGAACGTTAGAAGAGAATGTACTGTTACCAAAACGGAACGAGACCATTCTTGCAGCTTGAATTGAGGGTAAATTGGAGCATGGCAGTCCCATCATAATGGAACAATGAAACCTTGACGAGGAATTTTGACAAGGAATCCTAGTCGGCAAGGTTCAACTGTCAGCAGACGACCATGTACCTGTTTGATTCATCAACATAAATGATAACCATGTGACGATTGGCACATGAACGGAGATTAGAACCTGTGTCCCAATAGCCTTCATTATCCACCAGGTGACAGCAACCACTGAAGAGGCCGAAAATAATGTAGAACTAGTCTCTGCTGCAAACGACCCACTCAACAGGATGGAAAACTAACCAAGTTTCTGGAAAGGTATAGAACCATTTTAATACCTGCCAATGAAAAAACAAGTAGAACCAACATCGTGAGTCACAAAATCTATACAGGGGAAACCAGACCGTTTCGTCACTCAGCTCGAAGATAACCACAGGCCAGGAGATGAATTGCAGAAGTATTAATCCAGGATATGGAACAGGACGAGGTGATCAGTAGTCCTGGTGAAGAAGAAAGATGGCAACACTCGTTTCTGTGAGGACTATAGCCGATTGAACAAGGTGACGAAAAAGAGCAGCTAGTTGTGTACCGACGTATGCTTCAGCACAAGATGACCGCCGCTGGAAGTGACGTCACGAGACCGTCCTTGTGGTAAAAGGTGGTGGCTGCACGAAAATGACATCACTAGATAGCCGCCGCTGGGAGTGAAATACGAAATAACTATTTGAGATAACAAAGTTCCTCTTCAGAAACAATTCATTTTAATATACTGGTTATGACACTGGATGAATATCAAAGCCTGACTGAGCGTGAGAATGCAGCAAAGTGGGAATCTCACGAGACGGCTTCCAGGAGAACTGAAAGACACAGCATCAGCGACTCAGCATCTTCTTATGGGAATCTCAACAGTTGGCGATGTAATCCCTTACCTCGAAGATTCAGCTACAGAGGGTTAGCGACGTAGCTGAACGTCTTGGTGGTTGACTCAAGGGGGTGGTTGGCTCCGGAACTTTGGCAACAGTTTCATGTAATCAACGTAGAATCTCTCAATTAGCAGAATTCCATACACGATCATAGTCCAGGTACTAGGGGTGTAGGATATATTCTTGAACGCCAAGTTGGGTTGGTTCTCGATGAATTAGGTTTTCATTTCTCGAAGTTCATCGCGCTCGATTTCTTCCAAGTGTAGACTGAGGTTCATACTTGGTTGAGGTGTATATTATGCATCGAGGTCTGGAAATAGCATTGGTTGGCCTTGGGTTGTGATCTGTCTTGTATTGGTTATTGATTCTTGATTGGTCAAGATTTTGGCATCCGGCAGGAATCTCGATGAAAATGATCTTATCAGCATCAAGACTTCTTCCCGAGGGTGGCATCTGGGTTTGACGTTTTCTTCGGATGGCAGGATTTCGATCCATTGGTTGGAATGGTCTATTCGTTCAAATACGGGCTTGGTAATTTGTATTCGTATTTGTCGGCAAGTGGAGGTGTTCTTCATGTCTAATGACTGGATTTCGCAAGGGTTTTCTTTTTTGATTTCTTGTAGGTCGATTTTTTTGCAGAAATGATTTTGCTGATAGGTCTCCAAAAATGAAGTGCCCAGGAATGCAAAGTACAATTCGTTCTAGACTTAGTATTCCAGCGCGATACCATTGCCTTTAACTGACTCTTTTAGATGACAGGGGCGAAGTAGGGATGATATAGGTGAGGATATGTAATCGAGATAGGCGATAGATAGATAATTTCATTATCAATGATGTACATATCGATTTTGATGAGTTTTTTGAATAAAGGAATATTATTTCGGATGAGTTCGAACGGTAGTATATTTTGATTGAATTGTTTCGATAACATTTTGAGCTCGGCAAAAAGAACATTCGTTTTGATGAAGCTTGAGTGCATTATTCTAATTTTTGAGAATGCTATCGAGTTCTTGATATCTTGGAGAATTGAGTTATTAATTTCAAACATGTTGATGATTTGGATTAGTATATCTTTGATGGAATTCGAATTTTCTCTTAGTACATTTTTCTGAACAATGAATGAGATGTTTAATTTCTGTTTCCAATAGTTCTTCATCGTGACTCATTTGTTGAACGGTATTATTGAATTTGTTCATGAGGTTAACAGACAAAAAATTTTGTCTTTTAATATGTGAAGCGAGTTCGCTATGACTGTTCTGAAGTTCTTAAATGATTTTTTCGTAACGTTCACCATCGTTCGCATCCAGATTGCCAGTAATTGATTTGAATATAATCCAAGTCCATCGATTGAATCTCTTCTCCTTCTTCGATTATACCGTAATATTTCTAGAAGCATTCCTTCAAACTTTTCGTCAGTGTAACGAAATATTTTGATGTACCCCTATTGAGAAAAAGTCACTCCCAACGCTGCCTCTTATATATAGGACCAAAATAATATATCAAATTGCCACTTCAAATAAAAAAAATATATAAACTCATATCCTCCAAATACGAAATCAAAAAAATTATCAATGAAAATAGAATCCTATAAAGTTGAAAACCAAGAATACCCAGGAATCTGCAACAATATACAAGGGTTATCTCTTTGGAGAGTACGTCTTCTGTTGGCGACTTTTGAGATTGAACATATGTATTTTTTGTTGATTTCCAGATGAAACAGTCTTCATTACAGAGTTTACGGATGTGAGTGGGGTGAATTTACTGAATTTCAGGTCCGTCTCTGGACTTCTTGATATTTTCAAAAAGCTGTCGTTTACTGTTTCTCAGTTCATTGTTAATTTTTGATTACAGTAATGTTGTGCGATCTCTATGATTATTGACATAATCATTGATCAATATTTGATCGACAGCAATATCGAATGGATCATTGTTACTTAGAGTCACTGGATGGTATCAGTTTGATATAACATCCAGTGACTCTAATTGTTACTGATGTTTTCATTGACTATGTCTATAGGTTACATTTTTGTAGCCGGATGCATGGAATGGTTGTATGCAAGAATGACTTGAATAATTTTTGTTCTGATAGGTGTTCTTGAGAAACTTTTGTTATCGAACAAACGAACATGTTCGATTAATGTCGGGTGGAGTCTTTAGACCATTTCATTCGACTGTGGATGATGTGGCGAACAGAAATGTGTTTCAATTTTATGTAGTTTCAGAAGTTCACCCACTACTGAATTTTTGAATTCGGTTCC